CATTTTCGGCTATCCTTTTGGCCTGTGTTTCCGGAAATTTGATAAAAAACAAGAAATAGTGAAATGTGCAGAAAATAAACTGCCCCAGAATTTCGAATTTTGAATGGTGCTATGCTGGATACTGAAAGATGAGCGTAATGCACGGCTGAAGCCGAAATGACGGTTTATTGAATGGCATTTTAAAATATTGTGTTTTATTTGTGTAAAGAAGTGGAAGATAACTACTGTACGGGAAAAAGAATGAAAAAATGAGTTAATTGAGGAGAGGAGAAAAATTTAGCCAAAAAAACCTGGATTGGAAATAGAACGCTTAACTTCCTCTTGCGCTTTAATACTCTCTGCCTATGTATATAGCTAGAAACAGAACATGGATAGACTATTTTCGAAATTATGATATTACCATGTTTTGGGTTCACCTTGCTTCTTTGTAATTCTCCTTTTCTAATTCTATTTTTCAAGAAGACACAACTTTAAAACCAGAGTTATGAAATTCAAAAAACAACGTATAGATGAGGAAGCATGATATTTATGTGAAAGGACAGATGTTCGAACACGTCAAACTCAATGTTCCACCTTCGCTAATGCAAAATTCTTGCGCTCAGAAACACCAAATAGTTCCGTCTCTCTTCCACTTTGATGGCATAAAAAAGAGGAAAAATGCAGCACTCCCTTTTAACCCTACATGCCCGCTTATTAGCTTGAAAATAATATAAAATTTTCTGTTGGAGACACATATGCAAATAAAATATGAACATCCATTCATCCTTCTGTTTTTAAAGTTTTCAGGATTTTATATTAACGAAATGAAGTAGTAAAGCAGGAAGATGTTGTGTTAAAGAAAAGATACGAACTGAAAAAAAGGGAGACGTACTGGTGGAAAAAAAATTGAAAAGTTCAAAATAATAATAATATTAATAATTGGAAAAGGAAAGTTGCATATCAGAAGAAGTCATATTGAAGCAGCGCAAGAGATTTTTTTACGAAAAGTTTCAGAAGAGATCATACGGACGGCCGTAATTTTAAAATATGAAAGAAAAAAGTTAGTTTTGTATAAAAATTATAGCTGCAAAACAGGAAAGGGATGTTTCGGTCCAAGAAGCTGCAATAATGAAAAGAATTTGTTAGTAATAATAACAATAATAATAGTGGTAATAATTAGATGAAGAACAGTAAATGGAAAGAGTAAAGAAAGATAAAAATGTATTAAGATTAAAGGGGGTGAGCTTAGCTCTGCAAACAGCTTTGCTGTTTGTTTTAGGTGTTATTCATGCGAATCAATGGGGAACCACAGATCATTCGGATTTCGTCATTCTCGCCTAGAACCACTCAGCGATTTCAGTTTGCTGATAACTGTGAATTCAGCTGAAGAGAGGAGGGGGAAGAAAACCCAATGATGATCAAAGGTACAATACAGTGATGGAGATGATAATGGATGTGCCTGAAGATGAATGGTTTGATGTAATTGAAGATGGAGGGCTGGATAAAGCGGAGGAAAACGAATATTTCGATGTGGCTGGGCTCACTGAGGTCGTGAAACGAGGAAGCTGTGGTGAGTGGCGCAAGCAGCTGTTATCAAGATCGTTTTCAGAGAAATGCACTCGAACACAGTTTTATTAAGCCATAAAATTGAATGATTTGGGTAATAAAATTAAAGTCAAAAATCCCCCATGATTCATCCTCTGTGTGAGAAAAGAGCATTCGGGAGTAGCTCGAACAATAACGCATGCCAAAAGCGATCAATCGCTGGTTAGGTCGATGGCTGCTGAATGCCGCTTTGAAGGTCGGCC